ATTAGAAAAATCCAGGATCTAGTAGAAATATAGAACACAGACTAACAGAGTTGGAAGTGACTTTGGAGATCTTCTAGTCCAACCCCCTGCTCAAGCTGGAGACCCTATACCATGACAGACAAATAACTGTCCCATCTCTTCCTAAAGACCTCCAGTGATGGAGAACCACAACTTCTGGAGGCAAGTCATTCCACTGATTAATTGTTCTAATTGTTCAGGAATTTCTCCTTATTTCTAGATTGGATCTTTCCTTCATAAATTTCAATCCATTATTTCTTAATCCTTCCCTCAGGTGCTTTTGAAAATAGGTTGACCTCCTCCTCTCTGACAGCCCCTTAAATATTGGAAGGCTGCTATCATGTCCTAGTCCTTCTTTTCATTAAATTAGATGTACCCAGTTCCTGGAAGTATGGAGAAGCGGTGCGTATAGCAACAGTGCTCTTGCAGCCAGAACTCATTTCTCACATATGTTTGGTTTGTTTGGAATTGTTTCCATAAACTAATAGGCCTGATCTATTAACTAACTGGCTATCATCTGGTTTCACCAGCAATAGTTACTTGCTAATTTTAGTAATTTGTTACCTGGTTTGGCAATATCATGCATGGAAAAAATCTTGGGAGTTGTGGTTGTAAGTCACCAACTTAATATAAATCAAGTGTGATTTGGATTAAAGAAAAAAGAAAATTTAATTGTAGGTTCCACCAAGTAGCTTCCAAACTAAAAAAATCTTTATACTGTTCTGTTTTGTTCAAAACAAAAGGGAAATACTAAGAAAGCTTCCAAACAGCAAGATGAATCAGTTATCTTGGGAGGTGAAAGATTCTCTTCACTGTTCAGCTATCTATGAGGGATGCTTTAATTCAGATTGCTATCTTTAGTAGGGTGTTGGTTTTGATGTCCTAATTGACTCCTCCCCGTAATGCTCTGAAATGTAAATCCAAGAAGTTTAGGTTTAAAGGGATTTGTTTTTGTAAAGTGTAAATGAGTATTATGCATATGTATTTGCTGAACAAGCATTTTTGTATTTGCATTTGTATTTTCATAATCTCTTTCACTCTCCTTCCTTCCTTCCTTCCTTCCTTCCTTCCTTCCTTCCTTCCTTCATTCATTCATTCATTCATTCATTCATTCATTCATTCATTCTTCCCTTCCCTTCCCTTCCTTTTACAAATTTCCTGCCTTCAGTTGGTCTTATTCTGGTTCTCAAATAGGTATTTTGCATAAGTTTCTCCCATAGTTCTGAATAAATAACCAGACCCTATCGCCGGGCACCTGAGAAAAAGACCTCTTTTCTCAGATTTATTCACGTTTGCACGAGTTTTCCCACAGGATTTCAGAATATTTCCCACATTGCATGTGAACTTGTATGCACAGAATGGAGCCAATTGAAAAGATTTGTCTGATAAAATCCATCATATATGCAAGAGGGTTATGTGCTATTGTTTTTGGTACTTTGGAAAAAAACAATTGTAGACTCACTGAATTATATGTTTTCTTCTCAAATGTATTAGAGCTAGGACAAGATTTAGGAATCTAATTTTTTTTTTTTAGAAAATTGGTAACATTTCAAGGACCACCCTATTGTAACAACAGCCATTCTGTTATGGTTGCCATTCTGAATAGTTTTAAGAAACTGGGTTCCTAACTGTATCTTTTTCAAATTTAAAGGATTGACAGAGCATGGTTGTAGTATTTCTGCAAGACTGAAGCTGAACAGACCTTTTTTGTTAAAAAAAAGCATCCAATTCATTTTGAGCTTGCAGCTGTAGAAAACCAATCTTTTATGGGATGCTTAAAGGTCTGCTTTATGCTTGTCTATCCAGCTTCAGTATCATGAATGTTAGAGTTACTTTTATGACTTCATTCTACCATTCAAGTTGCCAAAGCAATTTTAATGAGAAAAGGGAAAAAAACTGAAAAATTCTATCCTTCAGTTGAACAAATGGTGCCGCCACAATCACATGTGAAAATGTGCGACTTTGTATAGTTTTCTGTCCAGGAAATTTTATGCAACTAAAAGTTGCAATTTTATGCAACTAAATAGATAAAGTTTTGAGTTTAAAGAAATAATAAATATAAGCTCAAATACCATAAAATAGACAGGAAAGCTGCTATTGTATCACCATTCACCTATATGTTACATGTTTAAATACATACACTTATGCAAACAATCTCATGTATGTTCCCATATTTTATTGTACTTAATTTGAAAAGGGGAAGGAGTGATATATAAAGATGTGGAAATTCAGGAAATTGCCCTTGCAAAACAAAGCATCATCATATTCCTTAATATATTGCTGACATAATGGGGGGAAAATCTAGTCTTCTTTCCTCAATCGTAATATTATATTTCCAAATTTCAAATATCTTAGCCTTAAAAATAACAATTTTTTTAAAAATGTGATTCTTTGTTGCTTTTCTATGATAAAAGCAAAAGAAAGAATCTCTTCCTTTGTAGTTTGGATTTTCTTTTTTGTGTTTATTGTCCTGAGAAATTTTAGTATATGGCTGCCTGTGTGCAAGACCCACTTGAAGTACATCTTCAAAGTCAATTGCATTGAGGCAGAACAGAGAACAGTGGCTTGCTGTGTTACATTTGTATCATTATAATTATTTGTCCTGTGATTTTGGATTCTTTTTGGCTTGTAGAGCTCAATGATATGGGCTGCTTACGTGCAGAAATTAGCACTTTTCTTTCATTCTTTCTACTCCTTATTTCTTGCTATGTTATTCAATTCACTAAGACAGGACTGGCTATAAATTTAAGAGGGTTGCTCAAGGGGGGCTGTTTAAAGTTCTTTATTGAATAAATTCTCCTTTGACCTTGGAAATTTGTGCATGTAGTCAAATTCATATAACATTTCTGGTTATTGATAGATTGATAGATGATGGCCTTGTAGTTCCAGAAGAAAGTCTTCCGTGCAATCTAAAACATTCCATGCAATCTAAAACATTAGACGTGCAATCTAAAACATTTTGCTGCTGGGAAACATAATCAAGAAGGTTCTAATAAATATTGATTTAGAATGTCATGTAATGCAGAGGTCCCCAACCTTTTGGGCACCAGAGGTTTTTCCGCGGATTGGAGGGTGCATGGTTTTGTGTGCTGCCTACATCCCACGGATGGGGCTTTGCTTGTTTGTGCGGACCGGTTGCTGGTATGCTGCGGCCTGGTACTGGTCCATGGACCAGGGGTTGGAGACCCCTGATGTAATGAGTGTAAGGAGACTGTACTCCTAGAATGGCAAAAATTGCACTATTCAATGCAAAGACCATTTATTTTTAAAGGATAAATATATGATAGTTTGTATTTTCCTTATTAGTATCTCTAATTAAAAGGAATCATTTATGGGCATCTTGCACATATTTAAGACTTTGTTTTGTGAGGTGTTTTAGGTAAGTCATACAAATGTAGGCACAAGAGCCTGTTGCTGGGGATAAGTTTAAAAAATTGTTAATTACAATATTCTAAAAATGAGCTTAATAGTGATATTCTAAAGTAAGTAGTTCATAAGGCCCTCCTAGAAAACCAGACCTCTTCTGATTGCATAAACAATTAGGCACACAATTGTTTCCTGCTTTTGGATGCGTACCACTTCTCCTTTTTATTTTTTTCTTTAAAATGTAAATAATAATATTACAAAAATAAACAAATAAAGATGAGGCCTATCCATGTGGATATATGTTATTATAGAGTATATCTGAGATTGCTTGTTATTGCTATAATGGTATCTGAACTATTAATCAGTTTCTTCAGTAATTGTTTTAATTTGTTTTAATGGCTTTTTGCTATTATAATTTTGGTTACTTATTTATATTTGTTATTTTTAGCTATATGAGTTAGCCCACACAGACATACACTATCTGAGAAGAGTGGCTATATAAATTGAACAATTAAAATAAGAAAAGCAGAACTCTGCATTAAATGGCCCACCTGCTAAATTGCATTTTTATATAGCACACAGTCTATATAGCAACAGGTTTTTTATGACCTTAACAATAGAGCAACAGACCATTTCTTTTTGTCTACCTCTCCCCTTTAGGTGACTGCATTTTGTGATGTGGACAAAAATAAAATCACTAAAGCATTTTACATATATGAAGAATCTAAGGTTGGTAATATTCTTGGTTTAGCTATTATTATTTGTGAAATGGTTTTTATCATTATGTGACTACAGTGCACACAAAGCTGCAAATTTTTTAATATATTGGAATTGAGGCTGTATTAGGAATTACATACTCTTTATGGAAAACGTATTTCATTCAGAAACACAACTGTTATATAAATTGAAATTAAATATGCAAATTCAGAGTATATTGTTAAATGCTGTGTGGAATCACTTTATGTATTTGTAATGTATTTGTACAATCGGGACCCAAATCAGGAAATACAGAAATTCAGAATAAAATAGAAGCTTGTTTTTGATTGAATAGTAATTCTCATCCCTAAGAACTCCAGAAGTGAGGCAAATTCAGAAAATTTCCAGATGTCAGATGCATTCTACACTCCATTTTATAGAACATGTTTTTATGCACTATTTTTAATGTTTTATATTTTATGACTAGTTCATATTTATAATATAACATTAGTTTGAAGTTGACAATTGGCTTAATGCAATTTACTGCATGGCTTCACACAAAAAACTGTGATTTTGGTATGGCATTAAATTAATTGACCATAGAAGGGTTTTGGCCACTAGCTGGCACTCTTTATTCTCCTTATAAACTACTATCATCTTAAACATAGGTAAATAAAGCAGAAAAGAAAGGAGTCTTCAGAACGAATGAAAAACAAAAATTAAGTTTCCAAATAAAACATCACCTTTTATTTCTCTTCTCCCCCCCCCAAAAAAAAAAACTCTCTGTGGGATGGAATAAAACAGTGTACAATAGAATAGAATGGAATTAGATATTGTAAATTCGATATTCTTCTACAATGCTACAAAAATAATCAATAAAAAAGTGCTGCTCCAGAGACTAAAGTCTGAACTCTGCTTCAGGAGGAATCTAGGACTTTATGATCTTATTCAGAGGCCAAAGCAACATTAAAGGCAATTCGGTTGTCATTGAATTTGAGAAATAATGTAGAGTGGAAAGAAAGGATGAGGTATTGTGAAGGAAGGCAGTTAGGAGACAATCTCACAGGAAGAGAAGGATCTTTTCCTTTCCATTGTCTTCTTTCCTAGAGACAAAACAGGGAAAAGGATTACCTTCTGAGTCCAGATCATGCATTGATCAAGTTCAGTATTTTTGCAAGTAGACATCCCACAATGGAATGTCCAAAACTAGGTATTTTGCAACAGGACAATGATACATAAGCCATGAGGGGGGAAAAGGAGATTTGGTTAACCACATGCTAACAAGGAAGCAGTATAAAGGAAAACTGGCAACCACAGAACTGTTTCAGAAACTATGCTTTTCATTGTAATAAGCTCAAAGGGACAGCTGTAGTGTATCAAAACTGACCAAGAAATGTACTGATCTCTGTTCAGGAAACTTCCAAACCCAGAATTCCAATTCTTCATTTCAAAGAAGCTTCCCCACCTTTAATTATTTGTGTGAAATTGGTGAGTATAATTTTGAGTCCAGTATGTGAAATCCACAATTTTTGCCATTTGCACTAAAGTATATTTTAAATGACTTGATATCATGGCTTTTCTCATTCAAGATTAGAACAAATTTTTAAAGAAAGGAATAAAATCTGGGCTTATTTTGGGATGGCCTCACATACACAGCTCTTCTTGGTGATTTGACCCACCCTCAGCCTTAGGTTAGAATTGTTGTGCTCATGGAAGTCAAAGTACACAGTTTTAATGTTTATAATTGTGTGAGTATTTATACAAAACTGCTATCTATTGTTGCATATTAAGAATTCTGAATCATTCATTATATATTTTTAAGGTATTTTCAAGGTATCTGGTCTCACTTTAACCAAGTTTGTTTCCAGATTTACTTTCCTTCCTTCCTTCCTAGCTCTTGCTCTTTACTTTATTAAAAGTAAATCCAGAACATCAAGGTTATTTTAATAAATTTTTTATCTTTTGAAGAGATGTGTCAAATTTTTACATATATTAAAGATGCTACAAAAGAAGACATCCAAGTCAGAATAAGCATGAACTAAGTGTGATGTAACCTGTGTGGTTTCTTTTTGTTGAATCAAAATTGGATATGATTATGCAGTCTCTTTGCTCAAGCATGTGGTATCTTAATTTTCTTTTCAGTTGTTTATTTAACTAGAAACACTTCTGTTAGTTCATTGCATGTATGTCAGAGGCATTACTCTTTTTTGCTTAACTAAGCTATTCTTCTGTTTGGAACTGAAAGATAGGGCTTGTTTCATTAACAGGCAAAATCAGTACAAAGTCTGGCCAGCCAAGGACTGTGCCTCAGCACTAAACAATCAGAATCATTGGTTGAGATGGATGGCCACAGAAATAAATAAATGTAGAGTTGACTCCTGGATATTGTATCTGTAACCGATGAATATATTTTTCAACTGATGTTGGCAAGCATAATTTTATCAACTCTGGGAATGGAGAGAGAACAGATAGTATCAAAATGACTCTTCCAGTGAGATCTTCCAGAGAAAGAGAAAGAAAGATTGGATAGATAGATGGATGGATGGACAGATAAAACATAAAAAGAAAGATAAATGAATGCAGGCTAATATATAATAAGGAATGCAAACAGAAAAAGAAATGAAAGAGAAATCTATACGTGCAAGAAAATAAAAAAGTAAAAGAAAAATAGGAAAGAATAAAAAAGATACAAAGAAGTGGCTTCTGATATTATTCACAGCAGTTATAAGTAAAATTATATTTTTCTATAATCTATTCATTCTAATCATCAAAGCCATAAATCACAAGCTCATTTTTTTTTTTTATTTAAAAGGTGCATAAGGGGTTTCTGGTCACCAATAAATGTAGATATTGTCTTTTTGCAATGGAAATGTTTATTCATCTGAGCAAGATCTACTAATTTATTCAATCTCTTTAACATCATAACATAATGTAAATTTCAATCCTTTTAACCACATATTTTTCTATAGATCCATCTCTATATTATAACTAAAATGCTTAGCCTCTGTTATAATAGTCTTTTAACCTATTCTTCCAACTTTCCAAATGTTAGCAAAAGTTTATTCATTTTAATAATTATATGCAGTGCTTTTTTTGTTAAAAAAAAAAAAAAAGGTGCCGGAACTCACGCATAGCTCCGGCTCCAGTTGAAAGCCCTTTATGAAGCCGGGGTGGGGGGTGGGGGGGAGAAGAAACCGCTTTAGGGAGCTTCCGAGGTGCAGATCACTCACCTGGAAAAGGTCTGTCTCCTATCTGCCGCAGATTCCTGCTGCCACTCCAATCTGAGGCCAGGGGACGCGTCCACAGCCCCCCGCGGCCTGATCCAGGCTCCAGAGACCTGGAAAAGACCTCTGCCACCCGGATATATGGCCATGGAACGATTTTGCGGCCCCCCAGCAGCCCGATCCAAGCTCCAGAGGCCTGGAAAAGACCTCCGGAGCCCAGATCTATTTTGCAGCCCCCTGCGGCCCAATCCCCTGTGGCTTGGAAAAGGCCTCTGGAGCCTGAATCAGGCCACAGGGGGGCTGCAAAATCGCTCTGCAGCCATGGATGCAGGCTTCGGAGGCTTGGAAAAGGCCTCCAGACCCAGATTGGGCCGCAGAGAGGGACGCAAAATCGCTCCGTAGTCATATATCCAGGTGGCAGAGGTCTTTTTCAGGCCTCCGGAGCTCGGATCGGGCCACGGGGGGCTGTGGACGCATCCCCTGGGCTCAGATCGGAGCGGCAACAGGAACCGCGGCAGAGAGGAGACAGACCTTTTCCAGGTGAGTGATCTGCGCCTCAGAAGCTCTCTAAAGCGGTTTCTTCTCATTCTCTTTTGACTGGAGCCGGAGCTGTGTGTGAGTTCTGGCACTTTTGTTTTTGTTTTTTTTACAAAAAAAGCACTAGATAGATAGATAGATAGATAGATAGATAGATAGATAGATAGATAGATAGATAGATAGATAGATAGATAGATAGATAGATAGATAGATAGAGAAATAGAGAAATAGAGAAATAGAGATAGATAGGTACAGATAGACATAGCCTCTTTCGCCAGTTCTTTACTATAAAGTAAAACTGTGGCTTCTAATGGTTTGGCTAAGTCATTTCATTGCAAGCCAAACGGTAGGGGAAATGGTTTTTAAATTAGCTAACACTTGTTCCAAGGAATTTAATGTTTGATATGATGATATTATACAAACTAAGGATACCTCCCAAATTCCAAAGGAGCCTTTTGAATATTTGTTTCTTCAGAGGGCACAAAAGAAGGAGATGAAAAATAAATCTACTGTGCTATGGTATATATAATGTCCTTCAAATATATGCATCTCACTTGTCTTGTAGTCTATGCTAAGCATATTAAGGAATTGAAGGAAGATGAACTGTATTAAACCCAACAGATGAATAACAGTAATGAGGGCTGCAGAAAAGTAGGCGAAGAAGGAAATACTTTGTCAGCAGTGTTATAAAGTGAGAAATAGGATGATGTTTCAAAACAAATGATGTTGCTATTGTACATCATGTTATAGTACACCATCCTAAACAAGAATTGCAGAACAGTTGCGTAACCTTGACCAGTACATGTGAGTTCTGATTTTGCTCTACTATGTCCTGTCTCAGAAGCACAATTCAAGAAACATATCAATAATTGGAGAAATTCAAAACTTGATGAAAAATAGCATAAGACAATTTAGAATGCTTGTATTTTCCTTAGCCATAAAAAGTCCCCTGACTATTGGGGAATCCATGCCTTTATATTAGCCTTCCTATATTTTAGCATCAATGTCTGTTCTCTATCTAGTTATTATATTAATGAATGCCAAAAATAAGACATTCTCAATGATAGCCCTGCATTTATGAAATTGCTTTCTTCTCTTCAGATTCCTGTGGTTTCATCATTAATAATAGTTTTAAAATAATCTTTCATCTATATCAGTGGTTCTCAACCTTTTTAATGCCGCGACCCCAACTGGTCGTAAGTCGAGGACTAAACCGGTCATAAGTCGAGGACTAAACCAGTCGTAAGTCAAGGACTAAACCGTTCGTAAGTCGAGGACTACCCAACCGGTTGTAAGTCGAGGACTTTCCCTGCCCGGGAGCGCCATGCATGCGTGGTTCCGCCCCCTGCGCCGGCCGAGGCGTAGCTGGCAAGCGGCAGAGATGGAGCAGGCCGACCACCAGTTGGCCCAGCCCAAGGGAGGTAAGGCACCCGACAGAAAAGGGGAAAAAAATGGCAGACAAAAAAATGGCGGACAAAAAAAATGGCAGACAGCCTTGCTTGGCAACCCCCGTGAAATGGTCAATCGACCCCAAATGGGGCCCCGACCCACAGGTTGAGAACCACTGATCTATATGGTATCGCCTTAATGTTCATTTTAGGTTTGCATTTATTTATTTATTGCTACATCTTATAAGGAATTTTAGAATATGATTTAAGCAAGTTTTCTAATAAAAGCAAAATAAGTTTAGAACTAGCAAATGAAAGGAATCAATAACAAACTTCTATAATTAAAAATAAATAAGAAATTAATTTTCATGTATTTAAAACTGACAGCGGGAGCAAGGAAAGAATTGCTCACTGAATTCCTTGAGGTTCAGGTGAGAACATGTCAATTTAAATTATAGGAAGGCAGGTTTAATGTTCAATGAAATGTAAGAGAAAAAGTAATATGGGGATATTGTGCAATCTCCTTTTTTTTCTTTGGTGATCAAAAAGTGAATGGCTAAACAGGTACTAGTGAAGGTTCCTTTCCAAATTGTAGCAGGACTTGAAGTGGTGCACCCCTCCTGGTACAATTAGATTTTTAAATAACATTTGATACCATCAAACTTTTGGAAGACCTCAGAGGATTGGAAATGGAGGGTGCTGTTTTGCAGTGGTTCCACTCCTTCTCGACTGGGCAGTTGTAATCATTCTTTAATCAGACATGTTGACTCTTTGGACCCTTCAGGGCTTGATCTTTTTCTCATTCCCCATTTCAGTGTGCTATTTATCATCTGTAAAATGAATTATTTCGTTCAAAACTCTAAAATCTTAAGATATTGTAACTACTATTAACGTTAAGACTTCATTCCCACAACACATTTAATCTGGTCAATTATTCTACAATATGATCACGTTAATTGAGTCAAAAGTCACTATTTTAGGAACAGAGTCCTTGCTTACTTTCTCTAGGAACTGCCTGGTGTCCCAGGTATCTTTGCACAAGGGCAAGTCATCATTATGTCACCAGCCCCTCCTCCCCTGCCAGTTACATAGACAGCAGTAGAAGTGGAAGGAGGTGGAAAATAAGTGAAGGCATGAAAGTTGTGTTGTTCTAAGTCCCAGTTCTTTGAAGGGTGCTCACCTGTCATTCGTTTTGGCCACTTGTTGATACTAGTGAGCACCTTCAAGCAATCCCCTCCCTTTCCCACTAGCCATTTTGCCAGTCCCATAACATCAGCGTCTCCTTCAGACAGAAGGAGAAAACAAGCTACCAATGGAAATAATGCTACATCCCCAAATA